AAATCCCATTTGATCTTGCCGTTAAGGTTGCGTAGGAGTGACTCAGAGAAAATGCTTCCCTAGGACAAAGAACTTCTTTGCCTATAGAGGATATTATTCATCTGCTGTATTTTTATCTCAAAACCACACAATTTGCATACAGCGGCACCTGCTATCAAAAGATTTTTGGTGTAGCTGTGGGTTCGCCCGTCTCTGATGTCATGGCCAATATGGTAATGAAAGACGTGGACCAAAGGGCTTTAGCCACTTCACCGGTTAAACCCTTTTTCTGGAAACGATATGTCGTCGATGATGGTATTTCTGCGCGGTATCCAGAAATGAAACGGAACGCCTCCTATCGCACTTGAATTTAGTAGAGCCGTCTATCCAATTTACCCTTGAGCGTGAAAAGGATAGACATTTGTCCTTTCTTGATTTAAATGTATACAGATGGGAACAGGGGAATTAAGTGACAAGTGTCTATCGTGAACCTACCCACACCGACAAATACCTCGCTTTCGATTCTCATCACCCTATTTGCCATAAATAGTCTTTAGCCAAAACTTTACTCAGGAGGGCTGACTGTCTACCATCTTCACTCGATTCGAAGGCTGAAGAGAGGAAATATGTTTCTCATGTCCTAGAGGCGAATGGCTACACAAAAACTTTTCTCCGTAACTGCCAAAAACCAGTTACAACTAATACCACTCCTGATGAGAGGGAACCAGCGACTGGTTCTGCTGTTATCCCTACATTCAGGGTGTTACGGAACCCATCAAGAGAATTTTGAATAGCAACGACGTTAAAGTTGCTCAAAAACCTTTTCAGACTTTGGGGCATATTTTTGCCAAACCTAAGGAGCCTGTTACGAAAGAACCGTCGCTCTTTTTTCTATTCCGCGCAATGACTGTGATAACGAATATCATTCGGACAGACCAAACGTCAGTTTGGTACACGTTTGAAAGAGCATCAAAAAGCGGTCTTCTTTTGCGAAAATGAAATTTCAGCTTTATCAGAGTACAGCCTAACCAACCATACGATTGGGTGGGATAATTCTAAAATTATCGCCACTAGTCGACGTTACCACAAGCGCCTTTGTTTGGAAGCCTGGCATATCAACTTTAAATCGTGATGACGGCGGCTTACTTCCTGACGCCTATTTACACCTCGTCAGAAAACAGCTAATTAGTGAGCGTATAAAAGGACCACTTCTTGCAGTGTTTAGATCACCCCTGATGAAGGCAGTAGACAGGAATGTTGAAACTTTGGGTCTATGAATTATAACTTCTCTGTTATATTAATTAAATCTTTAAACCAGAGTAGATCTAAAGATCTAAAGCTGTTACGCCATCTGCCAAATAGTACTATCTCCGACCATTTCCCGGACTTCTCTCTAACTTTTTTTCATTCGTTTAAAATGAAATTTCGGAACAAGCGAGCCGCAAAGTAGCAATAGGAGAACCAAAGAAAGGTTTGTAAACGTGCCAAGCGCCGTAATTGATGTTATTATAACGTGAACACAGACAAAAATCCTCAAAGAGAAAATGAAATGGACAGTCCGAGTTTTGAAGGTTTTCACGCTCAGTTTGATTGCAAGCTTACGTGCGGTGATAAAAATCAAACAAAGCTAACACTCGTGTAGTACATATAGTTAAGTATTCACAAACAAATAAGAACAAAGGAGGAATGATGAGAAGTATAGCTTGAGAGTGAATGGAATGCGATTGGTATTCTCCTTCTAAGCCGTTTGTAGTGCTGACTGTCGATCAATTTGTTGGGCGCGATGGTGGCCCGCTTGAACGCCAGAAACAGGATAGCCAAGTTTATCAAAAAGGTGGCATTTTGCCTCTGATTTTCCGGAAAAATCAAAGTCGTCACTAGACAAGCGACGAGGTCTGAGAAACTGTAAAAAAAAAAGGAAAGGAATTCTTAACGTGTGATGGATACGAAGATGAATACAATAAGTAACTATACGAATCTGTAGGTTTGTTGTAAACACTAGTGCATAGACCGTTGCCTTCAATTGAAATTTTGA